GTCCAGAGAGCAGCGCCCCGCCGCCGCGTCCGTCAGCTCGCGCGCTCGAAGTATAGTAGTGTCCGCGGCGTCCGCGTGTGCGTGTGTGTGTCCGTGCCAAGTGGTTTACTGCCCGGATACTGCCAGCCCGCGTACCTTGCCCTCATGGTAATGGAGTGTTTCTTGGCCCACTGCCGCGTGTGTGTGTGTGTGTGTGTGTGTGTGTGTGTGTGTGTGTGTGTGGACGGGTGTGTCCAGTGTTGACGTCTCGTGTGAGTGTGTGTGTGTGTGTTTGTGGATTTACTCGACAACGGGATTATACGCCGCGCCCCTTTTGGCACTACTGCCGGGGGGCCCCGTGAGTATTCGCTACTCTGCCATACTGCGACCTCATATCTCTCTGCGGCCATTCTCTCTCTTATTTTACGGCTTATTCTTCCTTAGGCCAATAAGCCCCTATAAGACCACGAAATTGTCTGATTAGTTTTGCCACTTTGATTGAAGTTTGGAGCTGGAGCGTTGACCATCTCCACTGCTACATTAGCCCTCCCCCTCCCACAAAAAAATCTTCTTTTAAAATCCAGTCGAATTCGGAAACGCACATTTCCTTTCCGGCGCGCGGTGCGCGTCGTCAGCCCGGATGGTGCAAAAAAGAAAATCAACTACCAAAAAACAACAACATAACAGCACCGTTGCTGGGGATCGGTTGAGCATAACGTCGCGTTTCTTGTCCGTCTGCCGGACCAAAATTGACGTTTTTATCAGGATGAATGCGGCACGCCCCTCCCTCGGCGTTGCGTCGGGGCCAGAATCACACTCCCAATAGATACTCTGTAGATTGCATTTACAACTGGAATTCCAGAATCCACGTGTACCGGGTGATTCAGAGAAGACGCAGGAGCGGGTGGTTTTTGCCTACCCAAGGGGCTATGGTGCTGTTTTAGTGATGAAATGATTGGTTCTTTGGGGGTTACGGGAAGAGCGGGTAGGCAAACCCGCGCGCTCCTGCGTCTTCTCTGAATCACCCAGTACTATACAGCTTTGCTTAACGCACTGCAACTGCGGTTTTCTAAATTAAATGCCATATAGAGATGAACGATATATGTACGAACTTTGGGATGGTTTTTATTGTACGTAACTTAATGCGCAACACAGTGACAAACGTGGAACACTAATTAATTTTTCAGAGTGAAGATATCTAAAATGATGATGGGTCTTAAAAAGCAAACGCCACGTCGGTTATAGCCTTCGCGCAAAAGAGGCCAGCAGCAGACGGCACGTCGGCGTCGAGTGTCGCGTCTCGTTGTCGAAATGGTCCCCTCCTCTCAGCGCCAACGTCTTCTTGTCTCTTCCGCGGAATGGCTCGCTCTATGTTTCTGGCGGCGCAGCTCGCGGCGCAAAACCGCAGCAGCAGCCTGCACAGCGCAGCCTCAGCAGCGGGAGATGTGGCGCTGCCGTGCGGACCCGACCCGCGGCGGCCGTGGCGCAACGCACCGCCACCCGGCGCCTCCTGTGGAATTGGGTTTGAAAAGATTTGCACTGGGAGCAGCAAAAGAAGGAACCGAGCCGCCGCGCTGAGACCCGAGAGAGAGAGACGAGTTTAGATTATTACGGCGGCGTACCCGCAATATGTCGGGAAATTATACGAGATGCAATATGAAAGGATTGCAGCAGGAATTTACCGTCGTGAATTTCCTACAATCGTATTCGCACAAACTTAACAAAATAGTTATGTAAATTGAAAATTTATTCCGTAAAAAGTTATCCAACCTGACGACGACGTTTGTTTTGTTTATTTTCTATTTTTACCGTGTACCTCTCGAAGTAGGTGCCATACCCGACGTGGAGGCGGCTGTGAAGTGCCGTCATCAACAACATGTCATTGAGTCCGCGCGACTGTATAGCCTCGGGTCAGTCAGCCCGGCGCGCCGGTAAATCCCTCTCACCTGTGCTAGTGTCCACCTGCGTGCCGCCGCGAGCTCTCTCTTGTCTCTCTCTCTCCCCCTCTCTCTCCGTCCGAATAAGACAGAGTGTTATGACTGGATTAGGACCGGATTATTGAGACATTACCGGCCTGCGGCTAGCGCGGTCGCCCGCGCTGCTTGCGCCCCCGTAAGTGCCGTCGTCCTGGACTGGAGGACAGACTACGTGAAGTGGAGGCCCTGGAGGAGGCCCTGATCGCCTTGGCGGCGGCCCACGGCTGACGCGGAGGGTTAGGCGGAGCGCCCCTCGCCCCTCACTCTCCGAAAATTACTAAATGACGCCGCTGCACGAGAGCAACGCCACGCCACGCCACGCCACGCCACGCCACGCTCGCCTCAGGCCAGAGGACAGTAAAGTAGGAGCCAATCACCACCACTACGCGGCCCACAGGTGGAGGGGAGGGGGCGAGTCAGCGGAGCACTCTCTATACGCGGCTGGGTGTCCTCGCAGGACCTTAAAAGGGACGTTGACGTTAGTGTGTTCCGGGGATATAGACAAGCTGACACCTTAATTATTCTGCCTTTACTTCTGTGACAATTGCACTTGCCCAGTTGCCAATCATACCGAAAAATTGATTTCTATTTAGTTGAAATAAAACACTATAGTCAATGATATTATAAACGCCTTTTCTGTATAATGTGCATTTTGTATCTTGGAAATTCTGTGTGGCTCTAGAAGTATTTTTCCGCGTGCTCTTTTGTCTTTTGGCCGCGCGTCTCGACCCGCCCGCCACACTGCACGCCCGCTTCCCGCCGCGCCCGTCCGTCCCGTCTCCCACAGGCTCGGCTGCTCGGACCCCCTCAGGCTATACCGCCGCTCCCGCTCCCCTCGCGCCACCCGGCGAACACCCTCAGGCTTCTCCGGCAGAGAGGGCGCCCCACCGGGCACCCCTGCCGCCTTGCCAACTCGGCACGAAATCGTCTCATTCGCGACCAAAGACATTTTTATGAGCACTTGCCGGTGCGATAGGACATACGCTCTGTGCTGCTGTTTAATGTAAGAGACTCACAACTCTTCTTGTTTAAGCCGGCGCCCTCAAACGATTAGCCTGTGTGTCTTTCGCGCAGTGTCGGTTCTGGATCGTGCCCGTGCCCGTCATCGGCGGATGGGGTCGATCGGTGGGTGGCCCGTGCCCCCCCCCCCCCCCTGTCTTCAGGCACAGAGCGTCTCGCCATTAATTATTTGCCGTGCGCGAAGAAAGGCATTCCGCGTGATGCCATTTGCCGGTATTGTTGTTTGTGTTTCACTTTCGGGCTGGCTGCGGCGTGTCGGGGGGCAGGGCACGGTGCGGCGGGGCGGGGCGGGGTGGGGCAGTCTGGTGCGGGCGCGGTGTGCGCTCAGTGAGAGGACCACGTCCTCCTCGTCCTGCAGACAAAAGGAGGAGGTTCGCACGGCCCTTTAAGCCCATAGAGACTGGCCACTCCACTTGTGGGCCGCGGCGGTGGCGCGTCGGCATGGCGGCGTGTGGCGGCGTCCTACACTGCCAGACCACCCACTCGGAGTATACCCTCTGTTTTATTATACATGTACAGTAGTACACCTCACTCTGTCGTA